GGGGGGGGGCTCAGTTTGTTCGGTTAACACTGTGAGCCTCTGCTGGAGCTTTGGAAATCGCTGGAGTGAATTGACCAGCTTACTGCCGCTCAAATGTGAAAGTCATTTCGAGCCCCCTCGACTTTTATGGCTCTTCTTGGAAAGACGCAATGCCAGCAGCGTTAGTCATCGTGAGGAGGGCTGCACGTGTGCTGCATTAGCACTTTGGTTTGGGCTGCAGAGCGAGGAATAAAACACACTGAAGGACCACGAGCGCTCATTGCTAATCATCAGAGCAGTCAACCACGACGACATCCTCATTGGAATCATCTTGAAATCGTCCACGATGGCACCATTTTTGGTGCTTTTTCGTGATGCTCGATACTCCCAATGTTCTTTCTGGTCTGATGCTGAGTAAAATTCAAGCCCGTGTCAGCGATACCCATCCAAGACACTTATTAAAGTGTCTGTTTTTTTTTCTTCCACAGGGACCAGCTGCGGCTTACGACTCAGACCAAACTTTCTGACACGTTTTGCTCCAGATTGTACCGATTCTCTTGAGATTTCGCCGATTCAAGACACCCTGTGCCGGAAGTAGCAAAGCAGCCCCAAGTCATAAACACCTTCGTCTTTCACGGTAAGCACATCACACACATCTTGAGTGTGAGTCTGCTTTTCAAAGTGATTTTTCTTTTCTTACTTTCGAGCCAGAGTTGAGATGTTAACTGAATGGGGAATAATACAGGAAACGAGGAGTTTATTGCGCTAGTATTTCAATATCCCTAGAGATGTAACATCTGGAAAAACCGCTTAGTTAAAAAAAAAAAAAAAAAAGACATCCGCTACTCACTTGGCTGGAAAAATTTAGTTGGCTTGACTTTTTAGAAGTGTGATGACATACTTCATTTTAGGCTGAGGACTCTAATGGATCATCCATTTAAAAAAAAAAAAAGTACCCTGTGGTGGATTAGCAGGGGTAGGGACTTTGTCCAGATAAAAGTACTACAAAAAGGTAGAAGACATTTCACCGCTCAACGGTTCACGCGACAAGGACGGCACCAGCCCGAGTTGGTGTGGAAAGCTCAACTATTGAAGCTCCAAGTTGGAGGGAGGCTCCACATCGTGTCGTGAGACGTGGCTGGGATGAGAACCACCACCTCCAAATCCGAGACCAGATGCCAGGTGGCCAATGTGGGCAAAATATGTTCAATTTCCCAAATGGGCTGTGAAGACTTGGAGGAAGTGGCTCCGGAGAGGGAAGTCTGGGCTTCCCTGCTCAAGACGCTTCCCCGCTACCGGAACCCGATAAGCGGAAGATGGATGTATCGTTTGGATATGAAAGTTGATCAACACTCACTATTCCAATTCAAACTACTCTGGGTTATTCCTTGATTCTTTCCTTTTGGAGATACAGTACATATTTTGTTGAGTTTGTCTTCTATTTTGGGTAGTGTTGGAGAATGCGACGATGGAACTAGACAAGTTGTGCCCTGACCAAACGTCACGCGGTGGATTTGCGCAGCGGCAACAAACCGTACAAACAAGCTCACCGTCAACACGACAGGCTCCTTTTGAGTGTCGCCCACCAACGCAAAGTCCTCCTTGACAGCCGAGCGTCAAATGACAGCAAGAGGAACAGAAGACGCGCCTTATATCCTTGCCCACCCGACGACGATGATGTCACTCTGCTTCATTTTGCCAAACGAGTTCACTTTGGTGGCGTTGCTTATGTTGATCAAGTGAAGAAGAGAACGTTTGTGGGCATAAAAATCGGAGTCGACCTAAGAGCAGGGCCCAGCTTCTGACCACCCATTGATATCTTCCCACCGGGACAAAAACCAGAAGGTGAATGTTTATTAGAAAGTCTGTTTTATTTTGTGTTCTTTAGTCCGATGAAACACAAGCTTCAGTAAATGAACCAAAAACAAAGACAGCTCAACAAATACATTCTATCTTGAGATTGCTTTGGTATGTTTGAGGCAGTGGATCAAGAAGTGCACTTCATGGCTTTGCATTCGAGCGCTTTGCGAGCAATTTAATACAAGACTCGTGTTGACTTTTTGTGTGCGGATTCCGTGGCTACAAAAAAAAAAAAAAAACGATTACACGGACATCAAAATGACAAGCCAAAAGCCAATTGGTGAACGTGGAGTGTGCAACCCAACAAAAGAAGCTCGGTGAAAGTGAGTCAGGCAAGTCCTGAATGTATGAAACATACTTTGCCGCACGACGAACGATCTGACAACTTGACTGTACAAAACAAAATGCACATCATAACCATCTGCAAAACAAACACTTTGAGTAGCACCAGTAGATAAAAAAAAAAGACAAAAAAAAAATCAATTCATGCGGCAGTTGCTGTTACTTTTCATTTGTGATGGGGGAAATTTAAAAAAAAAAAAAAAATTGACATGATCAGCTGAAGATATTGGGGCGGGGTCAAGTCCATTGGTGTGGAATCCAGTGCAGCCTCCATTCGTACAGTATGACCAGTGTGGATTGTTCTCCTCAAAACACAGGTAAAGGCTGGCCACGGGTGCGATCCGTCCCCTATGTGCTTAGTGAAGCCATCACCCCTTGCTTGATGGGCGCTGCGGACAAAAGGACAAGGTCACGTGACGGCCATCCAAATGGCACAAAAATATTCCGAAGGTTTTGGCATGCACGTGTGCATCGTCCTCCTACCTGGTTTCCCACAAGCCTTGGCGCACTGTTCATGCGTGTCGAAGCGATTCTGGTTCCCGCCGCAGCCTCCGTACCAGAAGCGCGCGCAGGTCTTGCTGGGGGCATCGTAGTGCCACTTGAGGACGAACTTGGCGCACGTGCCCTCCTCCTTGGGCAGCTGGCAAATGTCCACGGATGTGGAGGCCGCTGTTGATAAACCAAATACAATTATTGTCAGTCATTTACCGTAAAAAAAAAAAAAAAAAAGATTTGATATCGGAAGGCGTGATTATGAGAGGATTCATGTCAAGCAAGAGAAAGTTTGGGGATCTAACCTGGAGCCGGGTGGAGCTCCGCCTTGTCCACTTGCTGCTGCTTAGGCTCAGGCTCCAGCACTGTGACTACGGCACACATTGGAACAAAGTGTGTATTTCTTTCGCTTTTTTGTCGATTGTCTATTTTTCTTGTCATTGTTAATCTTATTTCTTAACTGTATTTTTTGCCAAGATTGTTTTTGATCATGTGTCCTAATTTTTGTAACTATAAAGTATAGTAAGTAGGAAGTATTTTGGACCGATATATTATTCAAAATCAGTTAATCAATCAATCATTAATACTTCCGGGATACAAGACGTTCTCATGAAATTTTTTCCAAACGAAGCAAAGCAATGGCGTATCCCAAGATTAGGCCCGCTTACCCGTGTCCGGTTTGTCCAGTGGCCTGTTGACTGCGGCGGTGATGACCCGGCTGTTGATGAGTGGCCGCTGCGCCGCTGCCTCTGTTCGTGACACAAGCAACAAGGTTCATCCTCTGCCGCCAGAGCCTCATTCAAATATGCGCGAGGGAACGATAAGTTGGGGGATGCGTAAATTTTGCCGACTGACTGGTGGTGACGACGCCTTTGTGGGTGGCGAGCACGTGGCCGTCGACGCCGTGGCCCGTCACCACGGCGTGGTACGTCTGCCCGCTTTCCAGCTTGTCCACGGAAAGCTCGGACGCCGACACGTTGGTCTTGACGGCCAAGGCGTGGTCGCGCAGTCGCGTCACCGTCACTTGGAAGTAGACGAAATTCTTGGGGTCCGGGTTGCTCCAACGCAACTTGAAGCCGCTGCGGGTCACGTTGGACACGTGAAGCTCCTCCGCGTCCACCGCTGAGCACAAAACAGGGCAGGCGAGCAGGATTTGAGCGATGGAAGACGGTACCGCTGAAAATAAAAATCCGTTTTTTTGTGTTTGCAAAAATGGAGCTTACCTTTGTGCTTTACTGGATGAGTTTCTTGCTGGTTTTCGTGATGCTTTGTCTGGCTCCTGTGAAGGAGAGGATCACATGGAAAAGTGAGGAAGATGATCATTTTGCTGATAATGGAAAAAAAAAAAAAGACAACGAGAGAAGCAACAAAACAAGAACTCACTGGGGTTGGCGTGCCAAAGTGGTGAAAGGGTTTTTTAAGGGCTGGTCGCTTTGGAACCACTTGCAGTGTTTGGACACTTCGGGGGACATGAAGAAAGCGTTTTCAACTGCAAAGGAAGACAAACACAATTAGAAAGAAAATACCAGAGACACTGAAAAATATGACGACGGAAATAACGGCGTTATAAAATAATCATCCGAAAAATATAAAATATCCAACAGAATGACATAAAAATCAAATCCAAATAAAAATGCACAAATGTTCGATGGCAGGGAATAAAAACTTACTGCTGATGTACTTGGGCAGCATCTGTCCAAAGGTGAGCAGGTGCTTGTCGTAAAACTGCGAGATGGCGTCCAGCCTCTTGAAGAAGACGTCGGAGGGCTCGCTGGCCATGCGGGCCAGGACGCGAGCGTCGGCGGCGCTAAGGTTCTCGCCGACGCCGAAGATGACCAAAAAGTAGCCTCTGCACTTGATGTCGGTGGCGACGCGCACCAGCCGCTCCTCGTCCTCCTCCACGCCGCCCGTCACGAAGAGCGTCAACACCTTGCGCGGGCGTTGCAGGGGCGCCTTCTCAAACACCTGCTCCACCGTCCACTCCATGGCGGCCGCCAGGGAGCGTCCGCCTTCCAGCTGCGGCGTCTTGTCCAGCAGGAAATTGACGATGCCCTGCGCCGACTGGTGCTCGGTCAGGCCGATGTCCACGCGGACGGGAGACTTGGTCTGGTTGTGGAGGAATTGGTAGGGCGCTTGCTGGAGGACGGCCACTCTGGCGTGGTGAGCGGACGTCTCGGGGCTGGAGGACACCTGCAGGTGCTCCACCATGTGCGCGATGTAGCGTTTGATCTCGGTGAAGACGACGGGGTACGTGCTTTCCGAGCTGTCCACCACGAAGCCCATGTCGATGTCCACGTCGGTGGTGAAAGACCTTCTGTCCCGACCGGCCGACGGCGGGATGTAGTCGCACATTTGGTCTGGGGCGCAGATGTCTGCAAAAGAGCGAGGCCCCTTCTTTATATCGGCTTTCGTGACAGAAAAATAAACGAGACGCAGAGGCCTCAACAGTTGACCAAAGTCTGCTGGCCGAATGCTAACGCAGCATGTAAAACGCCATAGACAGGCTTACCAAACTAGCATCCATGTTGTAGTAGCTATAAGGTACAGTTATTTGAACACCAATTGTGCAGCAACACATGTAACAGACAATAGAACAATATTCACATGCATATATGCCTCATCCTCTGTGAAAAATAACAAATTTCTGCATCTGACTGGGGAGTTATGACCATCTCATGTATATATCCTGTATGTTATTCGAGTACAATACAGTGGGATACGATTTATTCTGATTCAAAACATGTTCGATGGAAATAGAGGTCAGAATTCTTATATGATGAGTTGACAACATGTCACCAGGGTCAATAATATTCACATTTTGAATTTGGAGACTTTTGTATCTGGACAGTTTTTTTTTTTTCCCCACTCCCTAAAATGGGCCTTTTGGCGAAAAAAATGTCCTGACTTTGAGGCTCTTACCAAAACAGAGATGGCAGTTCATGACTTTTGTCATGACTGAATTGAACTGTGCGCTTCCCGGGTTGGGCAAGACGATGACCTGGGCCAGTGCTGTGTTGTTCACCTTGTGAAAAGCAAAAGAAAACGATATCATGTCAGCATATGATCATCAGGGTGACACGTCAACTGCCTGTCTGAGTGATTGCTGTGAAGACTTTCATGCAAAGTCAAACTGTTATCATTTCAACATCCAGGATTTCCTTGACACCGTTTCCTATCAAGATGCAGCTTTGGTGACATCTGGGAGGGTGTTTCAGAAAAAGCATAAAAAATAGGCGTGGGTTCACGCTTTCCTTGGTCATCTATCTATGCCAGTGGCATATAGCGACAGGCAGAGCAAATAAATGCTTTTCTGTCAGATGGGAGAAAGATCAGAATGAACTTGTGCATTCATTCTTTTGTATGTCATAAATTTAAAGCAAACCAATGTCAGGAAAAGCCTCCTAGAACATCGTAATTGAATTGGGGGTTCATCAGAGGAGCTTAAACGGTGGCGGGTGTGTGCAACGGGAGTTTGAATGCGATTGGTTAGTGTTGCGGCCCGGCTCGGCAACCTCGCCGAGGCATCGGCGTTACCTGCAAAGCTCTGGCGAGCGCCCTGTCGTCGCTCTTGACCAGGAACAAGGTGGCGATGCCGGCGTCGTGGAGGCGCATCGCGGCGTTGGTGACCGCCTGGGCGTTGGCCACCGAGCCGCCCACGAAGAAGACGGCCACTTTCCTGACCAGGAAGCCGCTGCGCACCCTCTTGAAGGTGTTGTGCGCCACGAAGCTCATGGCCGTCTCCAGGCTGCGCCGTTTGTTGGTCTGCAGCGTCTGCAGGCCCTCCACGTGCCGCAGCAGCGCCCGCTTCTTCAACGCGTCGGCGAAGCGCACCTCGGTGGTCACCTCGCTGTTGTAGAGCGCCAGGGCCACGCGGGCGCCCCGCGGGCAGTTGCTCTCCGACACGGTGAGGCCGCGCAGCAGCCGCAGCGTGGCCTCGCGCATGCTGTTGAAGGCCGGCCGGCCCACGTCGTTGGACGCGTCCAGCACGAAGGCCAGCTCCGTCGGGTACAGGGGGCACTCCAGCTTGCCTAAGGAAGGCCACCGACACGTTATTTTATTCCCCCCGCCATCCGCGCCGGACTCGAAAGTGGAAACGGCGGCGGGTTTTGCGACTTACCGTAGCAGCACGCTGTGAACAAAAGGGACAAAAATGACAATTAGTGCACTTGTACTTTGAACCTCACAGTGGAGAAGGGGGCGGGGTGAGCAGTGGCTGACTTGCATGAGACAATGCAGCCCCCCCCCCCTCAGAACAAGAATAATTGTTGATCCTTTGAGTATTTTGAAGAGATCACATGATGGATAGGTTGCTATGAAAGCTGACAAGTGGGATTCAAACAAAACGCCTCCTTCGACTTGTGTCGATGAACTTAAACGGATGACACTTACGACAGTTGTCTCTGATCTTCTTGACGAGGTCACATTGCTGATGACAAAAAAAAATAAGAATTAAAAAAAACAAGCGCATTACATTACGCTGCAGCACGATTTCAAGTAAGCAGGACGAGTTGTTAAAAGCATTCGTACCACAACTCCCGGTCCTCTTGGTCCTTTCTGACCCTAAGGCACCAAAAGGACAAATGGCGACGTTAACTTTTGCACAACATCAACGTTGTCGGATAAGGTGGAAGTGAACGACTCTGCTTACGTAAGGCCCCGGATAGCCGACCTCTCCTTTCTGTCCAAGCGTTCCGGCATTTCCAGACACGCCCTGGCGGGAAATAGATCCCAGCTTGTAAATGTCACCATAGAATGAATGCAAGCTACGAGCAGGACTGGGCGGTTTATGGAAATGTAATCATGATTTCCATTTTGGCTTCACGCGATCTATATTCACATGATGCTGACATGTTTTGCACATTTGAAAAAAAGTTTCTTTGAGCAAAATGATGCTGACACTTCCTGTTTTCTATTCTCTATATGGACTACCGCGTCACCGCCAAGTGGCCGAAAGTGGAATTTAAGCCCAAACTAAAGAACAAATATTGAGTTAAAATGGGACCAAAAAAAAAAAATCTTTGTATTTGTTGTGATCTTTTTTCTCATTTTTTTAAAATCTTTAAAAATATTTGAAATATTTTCACACTTTTGAAGCAATATTTTTGTATTCAAATTTGTTTATGGATTTATCTATTAAATCAACACACACACATACACACACACACACAAAGCAAAATATTGCAGTTTACCCTCTGTCCACGATTTCCTCGCAGACCAGGTCCACCCTTGGTTCCTGCGTTACCAGCTTCGCCCTGCACGGTTAGAAAAAGAATAGGTGTCCTACATATATTGGAGTACACAAATGTCAACGTTTTCTTACAAACAACCAACAGTTTTCAGAAATACCGTACAGAACGTTTCGTCGACATTGTGGGTTTTGTCAATGAGAAAATTTGGCAAGCTGGACAGCGCTGAGGCACGGAGACTGTCGACATGAGTCTCCAGTCCCTCGGCCAATCAGGATGCAGAACACAATGCATTGTATTTAAAAAAAAAAAAAATTAAAAAAAAAAAAAAAACCACAAAAAAAATTCCAGGAAACGGCAAAGCCTGAAATATGAACCATGTTATAATGAGGTATTACTTTATATCTATAGATATATAAATATATAAGCACGCGCACACAAACACACACACACACACACACACACACACACACACACACACACACACACACACACACGTACTGTGTAGATGTAAACACCAAGATGAAAATATTTTTTCTCATATTCGGAGTCGGCATTTTGCTTACCTTTGGCCCCGGGAACCCTGGAAAGCCTTCGTCACCCTGGAGATGAAAACCAATGTATTTATTACGTCACATTATCTCCAAAATGACATCATATAATAAGAGTCATATCCGAGAGTGTGTTAGAAGTGCAAACATAAGGGATGGCCAAATGGACTTGCCCTTCTTCCTTTGGGCCCCGCGGTGCCGAAACCATCTCTGCCATCTTCGCCCTTTGAGGAAAACGCGACACGTCCGTTTGAGCTGGCTGCCACCGTTCGTCAGCATCGCAAGTACAAAATAAAAGCTGTCTTACAGACTCTCCGCGGAGTCCGAGTGGTCCGATGACGCCTTTAATCCCTGGATCTCCGGGCTCTCCCTGCGCACATACACAACCCGAGAAAGAGCAGGATGGAGAGGAAAAAAAAAAAAAAAAAACAGTCAAACGTCTCCCTTAGGAAGGTGTACAAAAATGGAATGGCGATATTATCTTTTCACATGTTTTCCTTCAATAGATGAGAGTCACATGAGAAAGAGCGTGTTTAGAAATGAAACAAGGCTGTCGCGGAAAAGAACACAAAGCCACGCCAACACGGGTTCCAGTGTGTACCTTGCGACCGACGGCTCCCCTTCTTCCCTTTTCTCCCGCAGTGCCCGGGCTTCCCCCAGGACCCTAACAAAGGAAAAATACCCCCACAAAAGAAACAAGATCTTACGAGCTGCTCTGCTTTTTAAATATACAGTGCAGTAAAATATTGACATTTACCGCATTTTCTTATACGACAGCCTTCGTGCAAAATAGGATAGACCCCCCCCCTCCCCCCCCACAAAAAAAAAAAAAAACACCTCAAAATGTGTGTGTGTGTGTTTGGGGGATACTTTCTGGATGCACAGTATAAGTCGACAATAGATTTTTGAAACCAAACAAAATCTAGTAGGCTCCCTTACCCTGGGTCCAGGATTTCCGTCTTCTCCTCTGGGTCCTGGTGCACCGTTAGGTCCAGCTGGACCCTAGTCAAGAAGACAAATCAGGCAATCGTGATGACGCAGCGGTACAGTATCGTCAATGCAAACCGCAACACCGAACATCCAAAATGGTCACTTCATACCACTTCCAATCTCAATAACGGGTCCTTGAGGGGGTGCGAATGTGTCCTGATACAATAGACATGTTCACCCAATATCGCGTTGATTCGTGAAACTAATTTTGCCCACTGCTCATCATTTGCAAAGAGGACTTACCCGTGATCCTCCAATTCCAGCTTCTCCCGTCACACCATCAACTCCAGGCGGTCCCGCGTTACCCTTGATTGAAAACAGTCACGTCATGGAATGAGGTGACATCCTTACCCTTGGTCACAGCATGTTAAAAAAAAAAAAAAAAAGACTTACAGCTTGTCCCGGTGCGCCTCGTCTCCCATCCGCTCCCTAATGAAAACATCAGGATAAATACAAAGTGGCTATTTGGCAAACCCAGTGAGTGGTAGACCATGTTACCCTTCTTCCTGGCTCTCCGGGTCCTCCCTTGTTTCCGTCCTCGCCGGGCTCGCCCTGGAAGTCAACAACACACAACAGTCACACAAAAGTCAACTGTCACTGTATAGACTGTGTGTTTTTTTTAATGTGTATATTTAAATTACGTTAGTATTTGGTGTATAAATTTGGTGTGAGTGTTTGGTATGTAATGTGTGTGTGTGCTTGATTAGTGTTTATGGGTGTGAGGGATTTAAGGTTTTTGTGCATGTTTGGTCATGTGTGTGTTTTGTGTGTGTTTCGGGGTTTACTGAGAGTTTGTAAATGCGTTTTCATACTAGATTCCCCCCCTCCCCCCGTATTGTAATAATGTATTATGTTTCTTATGCAATGAATTCTATTTCTCTATATTGTATGCAACTGGAGAGATTACCGCTGGTCCGGCATCACCAGGGTCTCCCTTGGGTCCAGGTTGGGCGTTATCCTTTCCACTTGTGCCCTATTAAGACAGAAATATCAAAATCAATAGGCGTAACCTTTAAATTATTTTCACAAATGGACACGGCTAATGGTTCCAATACAGTAAATGTGCACGAAACTCACAGGGTCTCCTCTGATTCCCATTTCTCCTCGGTCTCCTGCTTGGCCTTTGATGCCTTTAGGACCCTGGAAAGATTGAAAGCCAAAAACGTCAGATGGGAAAATACTGCCTGGGAAATAATCATAACCCAAGAAATGCTTTACTCACTCTTCTGCCAGGATGTCCCCTGTCTCCTGAGGGCCCGGCCACTCCACTTTTGCCCTGAGAACACCCCACCGCAGATATGCAAATGTATTCAATTCTATCCACGTAACAATGCGATTCTGTGAGTACATTTTAAAAGACGCCCATACCTCTTCGCCGTTAATACCGTCCAGGCCAATTTCTCCAGATTCACCCTGTGACACGTTAGCATTTGTTTAACGTTTTTTTTTTTTCCAGTAGCTCAGTCTCACTATGTGAATTGAAAAGGAAATGAAGTCACCTTTTCTCCAGAGTATCCTCGAGAACCCTGAGGAAAGTGTCGAAAATCAAAGTTAGCAGGTCGCATAGTTGACGTCATTCTGTGATTATATAGTATGTGTATATGTCACGGAGTGATACATATTATACTACAGTATATTCAATTATGGCGGAAGTGACGCAATAGCACACAGTGTGGAACCTGCTTCCCGCCGTACAGTCAGTCAGAGCGCCGAGGAGCAATTCACAGTGGTGAGTCGCATCTCATTGGTGGTCTGGATTAATTCGTATTTCAATATTTCAATTCCCTTTTCTCATACTGCTGTGTGGTGTGCCCGAGTAGTTCCCCCTTAATTGTTCCGAGCCCACCTTGCTTTCTGTGTCGTTGTGAAAGTCCGAAACCGGAAGCGGCTTCACCATTGCTCCCGCCATTCTGTATTTGATGTAATGTTTATCTCATGTCAATGTTGCTCTATCTTGTTGTTCACCTGTTTATTTATTATTCGTTCAACTATTTTAGTGGCGTGAGCCCGCAGTTCACTGCGGCCGCCATTCGTGTTTCGTATTACGCAGTCAGGTCTCTGCCGCATGTGGTGTGTTCAATGACACTTCGTAAATGAGAGATTATGTGTTCTTTTTCTCTTTTACTGTGAATCGTTGCAAAAATGGATTACCAGGAATCCACCATAATGCGTTAGTTAAAAACACCATACGATCACACATGCTGCATATTTTGTCTTCTTATAAGATTAGGGACAAAATTTTGTTCGTCAGTGAGAGTTCAATTTAATTCAATTTAACAGAGAGCTACCAGGAATGCAAAGTGATAATTGTCACCATTGTGCCGCCATACTGTGTTGCAGTGTTGGAATAAAAAAAAAACATCTGTGTGTCAGTGATGTGGAGCTGTAAATTGCCACACTCAGTAGTGGCTCGTCACATACATAAATGGAAAAAAAAAGTGATCAAAAAGGCCCTTGGAGGACATGTCATCAAAATTTAACCTGCGCCACCCATATACTATAAGGAAAACTGAACTGCTCCGCATTTTAGCATCGCCCATCTGTCTAGGGTATGAGGTTCAAGTTTAGGGAAACAAACAAAATATCAACCTAATCTGGTCTAAGAATCATAACAATTTGAGGAGTGCATTAGCACCCTAAAATGGATGCCTCAGAACAGAATACCAGACAAAATTCAACGGCTTCGGCGGCTCTACTTTAAAACAATTCAGAGCCAGTTTCATAAGCAATCGTCTGAGAAAGCCCACAACATAGCATGTTAGGCAAAATTTTAATAACGATGAAGCAAATTAAAGAGCTCCCTAATTCACCGGAAATGTGTACAATCAATGACTTGATAATTTCCTTTACCTTGAAACCTCTCTGTCCAGGACAGCCCTGGAAACCTTGAGTGCCATTCACGCCAGCAGGACCTCTTTCTCCCTGTTATCAGATAGTGACCACAAAACTCTGTTAACACGTGACAATAAAGAAATGAAATAATTCATAAAAACCGAATGAATGCAATATTATCCAATATACGAGTCTAGTAAGTGGTTTTATGTAAACACTGAAAGGGACCGAAAATAAGCGTACCGGTCCACCTTCATCACCAGGATGTCCTTGGCTTCCTGGACCACCTGGACGACCCTAAGAGAAAAAACCCCAACAACAACAACATTCAATTATCAGCAATTTACTTACTTTTTAGGGTATTTTGATCTCAATTTTTGGCCAATGATTACCTTAGGTCCTGAAACTCCGATGGAGCCTCGGTCTCCCCTTGTGCCTGTACATTTGCACGGCACTCCACAGCATTCCCTCTCTGCAATATTGTCCTAAGTAACATGAAGGAAACATATTGTGTTAGTCAATATCCAGTATTTTGTATTGTTCTGCACATTGAAATTGTCCACTTACCAATTCCTCCATTAGCTCGTAGTCCAAGTCGAGGATGTTGAGTCGTAGGGGTCTGGTGTACCTGAAGCCACGGCCAAATTCCAACAATGCAGCGTCTTCAAACCTGGGCACTCGTTCGAGCCCAACCAGGATCAAACTGTTGACTCCTAGTTGTAGATGGAAATATTTGTCTTGTCATGACAGTCAACCCTCGGTCATCGCGGGGGGTTATGTTCCTTCCCAACCCGTGATGGGTGGAAAATAGTTTTTCCCCTTTCACATGACTTAAGCACATTTTAGATTGGAAAATATGCAAGACAGTGGCCCTTAAGGAACAGGATTGAAGACTCCTGCGTGAGTGCATTACAGATTTCTGCACTACAGAGTCGATCAGTCACCTGATTGCCGGAGCTCGTCCACTCGCCTTTTCATTTCAGAATAGGGTGCATCAATACCATCAGTCAGATGAATAACAACCTGGAATGAAAAGATTACACTCAAACTTCATTACTTTAAGTCCAGTCAGAAATTAGTGGACTGATGCCCCTGTTCACAAAATAAAGTCTTTCAAACCGCCTTTCTTGCTTTGGTTCACAAACTGCGTTTATGAGCAATCTTGACATCCCCCGCTTAAACATTGTTCTTATGTAAAAGGGAAAATGATTTTGGTTCGCAAAGTGAGTCTGAAGGCTTGAAGTTTGTGAACCGAGGTTTGGCAGTACTGACAGGAAGCTGTGTGTCTCATAAACTCACCTTGACAGTATCATCTTGTCTGTTTCTGAATCTGTCAGTGTAAGCCGAGATGGTCTTGCCACTGAGAACGAAGGGGCCGCGAGCACGAAGGCCTCTAAAGGCATCCAAGAGCTTGTCGGCATTGTCGGAGAAGTCCACCTGGACTGGCTGCCCGGTGGAATCGATGGCGAGCATGCCGATTTGAATGGATGGAATTTGCCCCGATGAACAGCTGATGGTCGACATTTTGGCGATCCTCTGCAGAATGGCAGCCATCTTGTTCAGGAGGTTGGTTTGCGCACTGAATATGTTTTGGGCAGAAACGTCGAAGCCCACTAACACCTCGAGGTTGCAAGCTAGAAAAGACAAATTGTCATACCAAACACCAACAATTTAGTCCATTATCATCTTTTATACTGTTCACTATTCATTGATTTAACAACTAAGCAGTATAGCCTTTGCTTTAAGGTTATACACATGACATTGACAATCAACATTATGGATATACATATGGTACATACATTGGACACACTGTTTTATATTATTATCCATATGTTTCCCTATCCAATTACACTTTGTTCAGATTGTGACCACAGTAATCCGCCTTCCATCGCAGGCGTTACTTTCCAGAAGAATTTCTTTGAATTGCACCTCAATGCTTCTCTTTGTATTTTATATTCTTGTGGTTGATTCTATGCTGTACTATTAATTATTATATTATTAGTTGTATTACGGTTTATTTCCCATGGAAATATCCAGTTGATAGCAACATTTTTTGTGTGTGTTTTTTTTTTTTATGGTTTTTACTGAAAATATCTGCCCTTGTGTCAGTTTATTGAGATATTTTATCTATCATTATCGCGACAAAATAATGCCGTAACGTTTCTTACCTTTGGGAGCTTCCTGGACACCAACGCACAGCTTGCCCTTTACTTCGTCATCTAACGTCCCCAGTATTTGCTCATTGAGCTCAGAGAGCTCTTGGATGGTTCTGGCTCTGGCCACAGTGGAGGAGTCACTGGCGATTGTCTCCAACTCATTCTCCGCGTCACCCACTCCAACGGCAAAGACTCTCACGCCGCTATTCTTTAAGTTAAGTACCGCTGATTTGCTGTCATCAGAAGATGGTCCTCCCGTGATAACCATGAGGATCTGAGCAGTGCCTTCATCTTTACGACTGCCCTTTTCTTTGGAAAATTGAACATTTTGTATGTGTCGAATGGCCGCCCCTGTGTTGGTTCTACGGCCCCCTGGATAATCTGCACGCTCAATGGCACTAATAATATCTGGTTTATTTTTGTAGGTGTTGAGGTAGAACACATCTGACACGTCAGTGCCGTAATGCGCCAGTCCAATCCTCAGGTTGTCTCTGTCGGTGTAGAAGAGATCGATTAGTTCGGCGACAAATGCCATGACTTTATTGAAATTTTCTCTGCCCAGGTTTATGGAGCCATCCACCAAAAACACGATATCAGCCTTCTTGGATGCAGGCAGGCCTTGTGCTAGGATAAGATGAGACAGAGAAGGGAAAAGGGTGTTTCATTAGCTGCTATAACATACGCTAATACTGTCTCCATTTCCAGAACACTCACTGGGAATCTCCTCTGGGGTGGGATCATCAGGGATCGTCCCTTTCAGTCTTGCCACCAATCTGTCATTGATTGCTGGCAGGCCAGGGAACGTAGGAACCTGAAGGACATCTTCTGGTGACTTAGCAATTTGGGCGAGCTGCCTTGTGTCTGCTCCACTTGCTCCAATACCAATACAGTTGACCCTGGATCCCTTAAGCAAAGGCCCATAGAGAGACACATCTTGCGGGGAACGTCCTCCTGTGAGAACCACAAGATGCTGGGAGGCCTCCAGAGGACGGACACCGGCAGAGGGCTTCAACTCATTCTGTATGACATATTCAATAGCATCAGCCAGGTTGGAGGAGCGGCCGCCCATTTGACGGAGTTTTCGAACGGCCGTGATAACGTCTGGCTTGGCGTTATACGAATTGAGCGAGAACTCCGGTTTGACTCGGTCCGCATACTGGACGAGGGCCACGCGCACTTGGTCAGGTTGCACGTCGAGTTGCCGGATGAGATTCAAGATAAAGTCACGGATGTGAGCGATACCCGTTACACCTGTGTTGTCTGAGCCATCAATAAGGAAAATGATGTCCTTTCGCCCAACGTCTAACACATCTGCAAAGAGCAATAAAACGATCATTTTTAGTTATCTATTCCAGCAAAGTCTATTAAATATCCACATCTTACCTAAGGGCTCATCCGGAGGGCGATAGCTTTCGATGATATCAGTAGCGGATATTGTTCTGACTGAATCAATGAGCTGCTGCTCCACGGCTGGAAGCTCCTGGAAACTTTCAACTGTGTATGCAAGTTCAGGCTTCAAGGAAATTTTCCTCAGCTCATCCGGGTCTGAATTCCTTGAACCGATGGCGATTGGTGCAACATGGCTTCTCTTAAGTTGGTCTGCTGGAGTCGTAACATCATCCGTAGAGCTTCCACCGGTAACTACAATCAAAAACTGAGGCACTCCGTCTTCGATGCGACTTCCGGCGGACCGCTGGTAGATGTTTCGAGAGACCCACTCAAGTGCACGTCCTGTGTTCAGACGACTTCCTCCTCTGCTTCGGAGTTGCGTTACAGCCTGGCGTACTTCATTTTTAGTGGAAAATTCATTGAGGAGGAATTCTACATTTGTGTCGTCGCTGTACTGTACTACAGAAATTCTGACTTTATCCAGTCCAACATCTAACTTCTCCACAACTCTTCTGATCATTTCACGAATGGCAGGGAAGTCATTTCGTGCTGCACTCGAGCCGTCGATGAGAAACACAACATCCCTCTTTTCTCCACCTGTGCTTGGAATGATTTCTGTAAAAAGAGAATCCGTGGAAATGAGGTATAATTGGTGATATATTTTACAACATGAGCTAATTAATGACATACAATTGATCCCTGCTTAGAAGAGGTTCAGCATTAAAACAAGATCATTCCATTGTTTGGGTGGGGTGGATTTTTTTTTTCCAATTTCCCCCATTTTTGGGAGAAAACATATAGTCAATATTTGTCAGCCTTTTCTGAAGATTTTTTGGGGTGCAGGAAAAAAATGTCAATGACCATCAATTTTACACCGATTTTTGCTATTCGTGGTGGTCCACAGTATAACCAAACAGTATGACAATCAATTTCACTTTAGTGTAGTAAAATAAAAAGCTACCTTCAATGACTGGGAATTGCGGGATGATCCTGGCGATGTCATCGTCGGATAATTCTGTAAGACTATTGATTACGTTTTCCTGGACTGTATCCAAGCTTGGAAGATCATCTACAATGTAGGCAAAGTTAGGTACAAAGGACACGATTTGCAGATCCTGAGGCTTCATATCCCTGGTTCCAATGCTGAACGGAATAACTCTTGATCGTTTGAGGGTAGATGCCGGACGATTGATGTCATCTGTTGGAGACCCACTGGAGACGACAACCAAAAACTGAGGGACACCCTCTTGTTTCCTGCTACCTCGTGCAGCTGTCAGCATATCCTCATTGACAAATTGTAAAGCCTGACCCAGGTTACGCCCTCTTCCTCCCCGCTGCCTTAATCCCCTGACAGCATTCAACACGTCTTCTTTGGTTGGATGTGTGTTGAGATACATGTCAGCCTGCGGATAATCGGCAAACTGGAGCACACCGATTCGGATCTTATTTTCGCCCACGTTCAGATTCTCCACAACCTTACGGATGAACTCCTGGATGATAGGGAAATCCCTTCCAATGCCATCAGATCCATCGATGATGAAGACTATGTCCCTCTGGGGGCCTTGTGACTCGGCTAAGGAAACAGGAAAATAGGATGTTAGTTAATTTTTTTTCTGAAATGTGAAATAAAAATGCTTGTCTCAAGCCTCCCAGAAGCAGTTTCATTACTCCTGAAATGAAACAGACAACAGCTGTGGAGTTGATATCAAATAGTTGTTTGATATTTGGTTGGTTGTGGTAACAAAAAGAGGCCATCATTAGCATGAACACTGCTACATAAAACTGGAACTGATAACTTCAGGTGACTAACTCAATGTGTGTGAGCAATCAGCAATTAGGACTGTAAGACCACAAGAACAACAAATAAAGAATGTGCAAACTAGTTGACATCCAATACAAGAAGGTGTGATCCGAAATACACGAAGAGCACGCAGTTGTTCACTGAGAACATTCAGAAATGCACAGCATTGTTGAAATGTGCTGTTTGGTTATTCAGAGTGCACTAAATAGGGGCACGGTGCACCAGTGCCTCAAACAATACAATAGAAACAATTCAAGCAAGAGCTGCTCATTAGTTTAGATCACTTAGGAATTAATGAATGGGCATCATGCTCCGCCTCTCCGAACACACACACACTCAGAGTGGTGCACTGGCATCAGAGTGAAATTCTGAAAGCCGACAGAGGCATAACATAGGCAGTTCACATGAAACATGAAGGTAAAAAAAAGCTCATATAAGCAAAAAACATTTAGGACTCGGATTCTTTGGAAAGATACAACATAGTTGAATTTAAACCTAATTTAGAAGAAGTATGGCCAGGGAAAAGATTTCAATATTGTCAAAAGATTTCAAGAAGGAGACATTGTATTGTTATTTGATTTATTTATTCTCATCCTGAAGATTGCTGGTGGAAAAAAAAACTTGTGATAAAGATCTAGCTTACCAGTAAGTGATGGTTTCATGGACAGAGCACTTAGCACCCTGCTCATGACAGACGGAAGCTCTGTGAATTCAGTCACAGAAATAACAGATCTGGGATCGTGGGTTATATTCTGTAAAGCTCTGCTATCAGAGCTTCTGGTCCCGATGGCAAAGATCAGCACTCCGAGCTGTTTGAGAGCAGAAGCTGGTGCTTCCACACTGTCAGAAGACCTTGCGCCGCTGAGCAAGATTAGGACCTGTGGGACTCCTTCAAGGCGTCTGCTGCCGGCAGAGGCGGTGAAGACATTATCCCTCAAGTACTGGAGAGCTGCTCCGGTGTTGAGGGTTCTTCCACCTCTGTGCCTCAATCCTCTGACAATGTCAAGAATTTCGCCTTTGGTTGCGTATGTGTTGAGATAGAATTGGACTGCTGCGTCTGTGCTATACTGAACCAGGGAGACACGATCTTTGTCGTCATCCAAACTCAGCGTCTCTACGACTCTTTGGACAAAGTCCCTCATTGCTGTGAATGTATTTCTTGTGGCATCGGAGCCATCCAACAAGAAAACCACATCCCTTCCCGGTCTGTCCGCTGTGGTAAACAAAACATGAGGTATTAAGTCCTCGCCTTTTACCGCCTCATTGCTAAACGTCAACACGAGCCTGTGTACACATTTGAATAGCAGTCAACTTGTCATGTTTGGGAGAAAGATCTCGCTTACCAGTGACTGTTGGTGTCATGGGTGTGGCTCTGAGTACCCTGCTGATTACAGAGGAGAGCTGTTCTTGGACACTGGGGAGGTCAGAGAGCTCAGACACCACGAGAGCGTGGCGAGGGTCATGGGATATCTTTTTCAGTTCGCTGCTGTCAGAGTTTTGTGTTCCAATGCTGATTGTAAAGACGCCATGCTGTTTGAGAGCAGAGGCTGGCGCATCAACGCTGTCAAAAGACCTGCCGCCATTTAGCAGGATCAAGATCTGCGGAACACCTTGCGTGCGCCTACTCCCTGCGGAGTTTGTAAAGACGTTGTCTCTCAGGTATCGGAGGGCGGCCCCTGTGTTGAGGGGCCTGCCTCCTCTGTGTCTAAGGCCTCTGACTGCGTTGACAAACTCCTCTTTTGTGGTGTACGTGTTCAGATAAAAACTGGCCTCTGGATCTGTGCTGTACTGGACCAGAGAGACATGGTCTTTGTTTGCGCCCACATTGAGTTTCTCCAGCACTTGTTCAACAAAATTGCGCATGGCGGGGAAGCCATCCCTTGTGCCATCAGAACCATCCAGAAGGAATACAATATCCTTTTTGGCTTCCGCTGAGAAAAGACGGAGGACAAATGATGAAGAGAACCTTTGCGCAACAGCGAGACTAGCCGATTACTCATATTCATGGGATGCAGTGTCCTGTTTGAATTCAATCCCTTCTAAAGTAAAGATTAACTCGTCACAATTTCAATAACGTCAAGTTGTGTTCAGTAAGGGTGATCAGATAACGTGCCCATGCCCGGTGAGAGCTTTACTTGTACACGTACCAATTACCCGTGGCGTTTCTGGGGTGACATCAATCACCACAGCCTCCACAGAAGACTGAAGTTGTTGTTGGACCGTGGGGAGGTCGGTGAATTCAGTCACCGAGAGAGCATATCTGGGGTCGTGGGCTATCTTTTGCAGCTCTCCGTTATCGGACCTTCTGGTACCGATGGCAAAGATCAGCACTCCGAGCTGTTTGAGAGCAGAAGCTGGTGCTTCCACACTGTCAGAAGACCTTGCGCCGCTGAGCAAGATTAGGACCTGTGGGACTCCTTCAAGGCGTCTGCTGCCGGCAGAGGCTGTGAAGACATTATCCCTCAAGTACTGGAGAGCTGCTCCGGTGTTGAGGGTTTTTCCACCTCTGTGCCTCAAGCCTCTGACAATGTCAAGGATCTCGCCCTTGGTTGTGTATGTGTTGAGATAGAATTGGACTGCTGCGTCTGTGCTATACTGAACCAGGGAGACACGATCTTTGTCGTCATCCAAACTCAACGTCTCTACGACTCTTTGGACAAAGTCCCTCATTGCTGTGAATGTATTTCTTGTGGCATTTGAGCCATCCAACAAGAAAACCACATCCCTTCCCGGTCTGTCCGCTGTGGTAAACAAAACATGAGGTATTAAGTCCTCGCCTTTTACCGCCTCATTGCTAAACATCAACACGAGCCTGTGTACACATTTGAATAGCAGTCAACTTGTCATGTTTGGGAGAAAGATCTTGCTTACCAGTGACTGTTGGTGTCATGGGTGTGGCTCTGAGTACCCTGCTGATTACAGAGGAGAGCTGTTCTTGGACACTGGGGAGGTCAGAGAGCTCAGACACCACGAGAGCGTGGCGAGGGTCATGGGATATCTTTTTCAGTTCGCTGCTGTCAGAGTTTTGTGTTCCAATGCTGATTGTAAAGACGCCATGCTGTTTGAGAGCAGAGGCTGGCGCATCAACGCTGTCAAAAGACCTGCCGCCATTTAGCAGGATCAAGATCTGCGGAACACCTTGCGTGCGCCTACTCCCTGCGGAGTTTGTAAAGACGTTGTCTCTCAGGTATCGGAGGGCGGCCCCTGTGTTGAGGGGCCTGCCTCCTCTGTGTCTAAGGCCTCTGACTGCGTTGACAAACTCCTCTTTTGTGGTGTACGTGTTCAGATAAAAACTGGCCTCTGGATCTGTGCTGTACTGGACCAGAGAGACATGGTCTTTGTTTGCGCCCACATTGAGTTTCTCCAGCACTTGTTCAACAAAATTGCGCATGGCGGGGAAGCCATCCCTTGTGCCATCAGAACCATCCAGAAGGAATACAATGTCCTTTTTGGCTTCCGCTGAGAAAAGACGGAGGACAAATGATGAAGAGAACCTTTGCGCGACAGCGAGACAGGCCGATTACTCATATTCATGGGACGCAGTTTCCTGTTTGACTATCAATCCCTTCTAAAGTAAAGATTAACTCGTGACAGTTTCAATTACTTTAAGTTGTGTTCGGTAAGGGGGATCAGATAACGTGCCCATGCCCGGTGAGCGCTTTACTTGTACACGTACCAATTACCGGTGGCGTTTCTGGGGTGACATCAATCACCACAGCCTCCACAGAAGACTGAAGTTGTTGTTGGACCGTGGGGAGGTCGGTGAATTCAGTCACCGAGAGAGCATATCTGGGGTCGTGGGCTATCTTTTGCAGCTCTCCGCTATCGGACCTTCTGGTACCGATGGCAAAGATCAGCACTCCGAGCTGTTTGAGAGCAGAAGCTGGTGCTTCCACACTGTCAGAAGACCTTGCGCCGCTGAGCAAGATTAGGACCTGTGGGACTCCTTCAAGGCGTCTGCTGCCGGCAGAGGCGGTGAAGACATTATCCCTCAAGTACTGGAGAGCTGCTCCGGTGTTGAGGGTTCTTCCACCTCTGTGCCTCAATCCTCTGACAATGTCAAGGATCTCTCCTTTGGTTGTGTATGTGTTGAGATAGAATTGGACTGCTGCGTCTGTGCTATACTGAACCAGGGAGACACGATCTTTGTCGTCATCCAAACTCAGCGTCTCTACGACTCTTTGGACAAAGTCCCTCATTGCTGTGAATGTATTTCTTGTGGCATCGGAGCCATCCAACAAGAAAACCACATCCCTTCCCGGTCTGTCCGCTGTTGTAAACAAAACATGAGGTATTAAGACCCCGCTTTTTACCGCCTCATTGCTAAACGTCAACACGAGCCTGTGTACACATTTGAATAGCAGTCAACTTGTCATGTTTGGGAGAAAGATCTTGCTTACCAGTGACTGTTGGTGTCATGGGTGTGGCTCTGAGTACCCTGCTGATTACAGAGGAGAGCTGTTCTTGGACACTGGGGAGGTCAGAGAGCTCAGACACCACGAGAGCGTGGCGAGGGTCATGGGATATCTTTTTCAGTTCGCTGCTGTCAGAGTTTTGTGTTCCAATGCTGATTGTAAAGACGCCATGCTGTTTGAGAGCAGAGGCTGGCGCATCAACGCTGTCAAAAGACCTGCCGCCATTTAGCAGGATCAAGATCTGCGGAACACCTTGCGTGCGCCTACTCCCTGCGGAGTTTGTAAAGACGTTGTCTCTCAGGTATCGGAGGGCGGCCCCTGTGTTGAGGGGCCTGCCTCCTCTGTGTCTAAGGCCTCTGACTGCGTTGACAAACTCCTCTTTTGTGGTGTACGTGTTCAGATAAAAACTGGCCTCTGGATCTGTGCTGTACTGGACCAGAGAGACATGGTCTTTGTTTGCGCCCACATTGAGTTTCTCCAGCACTTGTTCAACAAAATTGCGCATGGCGGGGAAGCCATCCCTTGTGCCATCAGAACCATCCAGAAGGAATACAATGTCCTTTTTGGCTTCCGCTGAGAAAAGACGGAGGACAAATGATGAAGAGAACCTTTGCGCGACAGCGAGACAGGCCGATTACTCATATTCATGGGACGCAGTTTCCTGTTTGACTATCAATCCCTTCTAAAGTAAAGATTAACTCGTCACAATTTCAATAACGTTAAGTTGTGTTCGGTAAGGGGAATCAGATAACGTGCCCATGCCCGGTGAGCGCTGTACTTGTACACGTACCAATTACCGGTGGCGTTTCTGGGGTGACGTCAATCACCACAGCCTCCACAGAAGACTGAAGTTGTTGTTGGACCGTGGGGAGGTCGGTGAATTCAGTCACCGAGAGAGCATACCTTCTGGTACCGATGGCAAAGATCAGCACTCCGAGCTGTTTGAGAGCAGAAGCTGGTGCTTCCACACTGTCAGAAGACCTTGCGCCGCTGAGCAAGATTAGGACCTGTGGGACTCCTTCAAGGCGTCTGCTGCCGGCAGAGGCGGTGAGGCTTCCGCTGAGAAAAGACGGAGGACAAATGATGAAGAGAACCTTTGCGCGACAGCGAGACAGGCCGATTACTCATATTCATGGGACGCAGTTTCCTGTTTGACTATCAATCCCTTCTAAAGTAAAGATTAACTCGTCACAATTTCAATAACGTCAAGTTGTGTTCAGTAAGGGTGATCAGATAACGTGCCCATGCCCGGTGAGCTTTACTTGTACACGTACCAATTACCGGTGGCGTTTCTGGGGTGACGTCAATCACCACAGCCTCCACAGAAGACTGAAGTTGTTGTTGGACCGTGGGGAGGTCGGTGAATTCAGTCACCGAGAGAGCATATCTGGGGTCGTGGGCTATCTTTTGCAGCTCTCCGTTATCGGAACTTCTGGTACCGATGGCAAAGATCAGCACTCCGAGCTGTTTGAGAGCAGAAGCTGGTGCTTCCACACTGTCAGAAGACCTTGCGCCGCTGAGCAAGATTAGGACCTGTGGGACTCCTTCAAGGCGTCTGCTGCCGGCAGAGGCGGTGAAGACATTATCCCTCAAGTACTGGAGAGCTGCTCCGGTGTTGAGGGTTTTTCCACCTCTGTGCCTCAAGCCTCTGACAATGTCAAGGATCTCGCCCTTGGTTGTGTATGTGTTGAGATAGAATTGGACTGC